TCTTCTGGTGTTTTGCCCGTTGACGGCCGTCCCGAATGATCGTCATCATCAGTCGATGTTTGGCCATTTTTAAAACGCTTATACCAGTTGTAAGTTTGTGTCTGGACTAAACTGTTTTCACCAAAAGCTTGTTTCAACATTTGGTGCATTTCTGCAGCGGTTTTCCCAGATTTGAAACAAAACTTTATACAGACACACTGCTCTCTCAGGTCAGCCATCGCAAAACCGCAAACTCACGGAAACACAACAATGGAAATACGTTCAGCAACAATAAACCCAACCACTCAACCCGACGCCGCTTGCCACACTGATTCAAGAAGGATGTGTGAGGAGACATCTAGCGGTATTTCGATGTACTCATAACCATTCACGCGCAAAATTCAAATTTCGGAAACTTTTGGATTGCCCCATGTACAAGGATAAATACCACTGTTTTTCACCTTTCGACACTTTTTTTTTTGCCTATCCTCAGATATTTTCAGCCTTGGCCTTCTGTTTGAGGATTATACTGGAGACCCAAATTCTTATCACCTGTCATAAGTTATTTCAAAAGTTAATGAGTTTCCCTGCAAACTTACTGAAGGGCTTGAGCTAATTATGTGCTATCACTTTTTGTTCACAGATCTGATTTCATGCTTTATTTTGGCACAAAACTTCTTCCTATTTAGATGCTTTTCTTCTTTCCTAACTCATTGTTTTCATGTTGATCTTGGTCTTCCTTCTGGGAGTTATCCACCTATTTCCTTGTCCAAACATTTCTTTGTGATTCTATTTTTATTCATTCTTAAGATGTGCCCATTCAATCTTATTCTGTTTTAGTACAACGTCAGTATAATAAAATCACGCAGACAATAAAATTATATTTGTTATAACAAAATTTCATTACACTGAAACACATTAATAATGTCAGACTGGCAGGGACATGTATATATTAAAAAAAGAATAAACTTACCATGTTTGCTTTGTAAACATTCTGGAATATTTTTTGCACAGTCTGTTTTAGTAGTTATTTCTTGGTAATTCTAGAAGAATTTCTTGCTATCCAATAAATGATCCTGAACGTCTTTTCTGGTAATTATGAAGTGCAGAGGACTTCATGTCATGTTGACTGTTTCCATAACAGTAATGACATTTTCATCATAGCCATAATCACCTTCCTTGCCCTTCAGTGTCATGTTCTGGCCAGATATCCCATTCCATTCCATCCTGATTTCTGACACAATCTCACCCTCTGTGAACTACTAAATAGTGGCATCATTATCCACACCAATAAAGTTGTCCAATGTCACCTCAACATCTAGTTTCTGGCACAAATATTGGGAATTGTTCACCAAACTGGCATCACTTTTTCTCTGAATTTCAGTTCCAAATTTGTCTTGCAGCATAATTCTGGCTTTGTGAAAGCAGTTCACAACTGTAGCAGCACTTCATGAAGCATGTTTCCCAAGCCACACTGAATATCTGAAGTGTCTATAGAATGTTTGCATTTGTGTCATGACTAGGGACTGGATTTTTATGACATAATAATCTCTTAAATACATATGCATTTATGCATGAAAAACTTCCAAAACATGCACATAAAAAGTTCATACCAAATATTAGAATTGATTTTACATTATATTAAGACCAACACATCAGCATTTAAATTAATTTTATGTAATCACTGAATGATTCACTTGCAATGAAAAGCTATACTTAAATGCAAATCACGCAACAAAGCCAACATTTTTTCATTACAAGTTAGAAAAACCAATGGTGCTCACATTTAGCTCTCCAAGCTTTCAACTTCTCTTCCGTTGCAGTTCACAATTACTAAACGTTTAGGATTTCGACAGTTAGCTGCCTCCTATTGTCTTGTAAGATGTCCTTATACTGGGAAAAACTTCTTTCCACCTAATAGGAACTTCAGGGCCCATGTACAAAAGCTGCTATTTGCTCCACACTTAGTGATTTTTACTTGACACTTCAGTATGTTTACCAGCTAAAATTTATTAAATTTCACAAATTTGTTCATATCCTGAATTTTTTTAAAGAATGCTGTTTACTTTTTCCTTTACTACTTCACCAACTCTTCCAGGAACCAAAATCAATTTGGAAACAGTGGTTTTGAATACACTTAATGATTGATACAAAGTAGTATTGCTATTGCTTGCCTCCAGTGAGGAAGTGGTAGATGGAAGATGACAGAAGTGAGCACAACCACAGGAAAGATTAGTTTATAGTTCTGCCTCTTTTAGTACATCTTGGGCGATTTGAATTGAAGCTGCACTTTTGGGATCAAATGCATTTGCGACATTCCTAACTGTTTCTAATATTTAGTACACTAAACGCACTGCACATAGCCACGTGCCCCAGCGCATTAAAATTAGTTCTGGCGGAGCTGGAACATTCAGTGCTACTGCTTTAAAGGCTTCCTTTCTATATGGTGCTTTTACAAATACCTTCTGCATAGAAGACAGCAACTTCTCAACAGGTGGAAAATTTGCATAAATTGTTTCTGCAACACGGTTCAACCCATGGGCAACGCAAGTCAAATGTCATATTTGGAAATATAACTTTAGGAGCAGTACTGGCTTTGATCATATAACTTGAGGCATCAGTCACAAAGAGCAACGCGCACTCATACTGAATGTCATTTGGCCATAGTAGATTCATGGAATCAGTAAAAACTTTTGGAAACTGCGGAGCTATTTGTGGCTTCAAATTGCTCTACCACAAGAAGATTTGGAGTAGATTCTTCATTTTTATTAAGGGATCCAACTATACAATTTGCAATAAATCGTCCCTCACAATCTTGTGTTTCGTTGATTGATACCCATATAAAGATCATAAAACTGCTTCATGTAATTTTTGTGCACAGTAGATTCATCTGGCATTCTGCACTGTTCTCTATGAAATTTCTAAGAGTAGGATTGGTCATTTTTCACAGTGGAATATCTGCTGCTAAAAAGGCTTCACACAAGTCAAAGAACTGTGAAAAACTATTATTAGACAATTCACTAAGCAATTTCTGAACAGGAGTCCTTTGTGTTGATTTAATTTTAATATTCTCTTTGTGTATATTTGTTCAAAATTTGAAACACTTGAAAGCGTTTTTCACCACCACAGTTTTTTCACACTCAGCATTTAAGAATTTTCTTATCCATAGTTATCATCTCTTTCAAAATCCCACTGATACAGCTATAATTTAGATTTCTGACTTACTTTCACTTTTGGCATGATCACAAAAAGCTAAACAAACGTAACCACAGACTAGTCAACACAAATATGAATGATTGAGATGTGTCAAGAAGAAAATGAAACAGCCACACACATATCCTGTGTGAATGTGAGGCCTTAGCTTATTTAAGATTACGTCAGTTGGGTCAATACTTTATGGAACCAAGTGACTATTTCAACGGCCCCACATATAAAATCATATGCTTCATTTGAAGCGCAGCATTGCTGAGGGGATAATCAAAAGGGGAAGCACAATAGATCACTGTAGGTCACAGTGAAAGGGCCGAGAAGACCCACCCCTTATAGTCATTCATTCATTCAATATGAATGATCCCCAGCTTCAAATGAAGAAGGGTAGTGAACCTGATGGAGACTTCAGAAATAAATAAATGAAGTGCATTATCAGTTGAATCCTTCGCAGCCACTGCAGCATTCAATATAATTACATTTTCACTATCTTCATTAATCTTCCAAAGTATTTATCTTTACCTTCACACTACTTTCTTTGCTTCTTAATCTCTCTCCTGATTTTTCCTTCTGAACTTCTTAAAAATCTTATCTCAGCTACTAATTGCACACCTTTATTCGTGCCCATGTTCCTGCTGCATGGGAATGAACTAAAGCCTAATAAGCACTTGTGTTCAGATATGTGGTCAAACTCAATTTCAGTATCTCAGTCCATGTTGAGTGCTTCTGTTACCTACTTAATAGTCAATCTCATTCTCATTTCTCATCATTACAGTTACTTTTTCCCACATTTCACATTCATATCGTTAATTTAAAAAACCACATAATCAGATTTTTTGTTTTCTATAATACCCCTCCCATCCCCAAATACTAAAATTGTTGAACACCCCACCAAAAAAAAAATGTGTTCTACTCATCATTTAATTAAAAATTCGCTTAGTGGTGGGGTGGAGTCCAACTGGGTCCACTCGGCACGACGGCCACTGATTGGACTATTGTAGCCTGCCCCAGGTGATTATGATGATGGAGAATTTGGGGGAACCGAAGTACTCGGAGAAAACCCGCTCCAGCGCCACTTTGTCCACCACAAATCCCACTTGACCAGACCCGGGATCGAACCCGGGTAGCCGCAGTGGGAAGCCAGCGACTAACCGTTTGAGCTATGGTGCGGCCCTTCTACTCATCATTCTGTCACCATAAATTCACCTTTCCATTCTCCCGATGTCATCAGAATAATGCTCCAATTTTACCAAAATTTTTAATATATGTCCTCTGCTTTAACAATTTATTGCCCATAATAATGAGTCCTAGTAACTGTTTAACTCACAAATACACCCTCTATTTTAGCAAACAAATCATTGCATCAATAAACATCTGTAATCACAACAGAAACATTCCAATAACTCTATGACACAAACTTTCTGAATCCTACATTCACATAAACCAACATGCATCAACTTATCAGAGCTGCTGGTTACTGCACAGAAACATCTCAAGTATCATGATTACAGTCTTTGATGTAATGATGTGCAATTTGGTAGACAGGCATCAAAGCCTGATGGCCTGAGGCTATACCTTCTATTCTGAAGATGGAGGTAGTAGGTTTCTATGAAACATTCATACCTATTCACCAAACTACACGGTGTCATTATCCCAGAACACCATAATCTTGATCAGTTCAGTTATTTAGCTGTCAGACTTTGCAGAGGGTAGGTTTCTATTTAAATCGTTATGGCAATGAATGTGTTAATGAATTAAGAAATGGCTTTACACATCAATGTTCATCCACTTTGCTGATGGAGAAACGGGCTGACCATTATCTCGGAGCAGAGCCTCGGCAGTGAACAGGGGGATGTGAAGCATATCTGATGTCTCCACCAGCAGTTGATCTTTGGCCTCTTGAAGGTCCTGGGTTCTTAGCCCACTGTATACCTCCTCCTGTTCTCCAGGCCCATACAACTCTACTTCATTTATTGTGTCAGTACTGTCAGCCTGTAAATAAACAATAAAAAACACCTAGAGAACATACACGCTGGCTTTATATAGTACTTGTATAAAAATGAACTGTGATTCTAAATTATTGTTGGGGTTTCACCTCCATGCCTACAAAATGCACTCTGTGCAGGCTATAAAGCAAGATGATAAACCCTGCCATTTCCAAGCTGCCAAAGACATTTTGTCGAACGTCAGAGCCAATGAAATTTACCTTCGGAGATGGATATTCAGTGATGAAGCAACATTTTAAGTATCAGAGGGTAAATTGTCATAAATGCAGAATATGGGGATCAGAAAACGCCCATGCCATTCGAAAAATCGAAAGAGATAGTGTAAAGGTGAATGTGTGGTGTACTTTTCCATGCTTGGAAGTTTTGGGGGCCTATTTCTTTGCAGATGGCTCACACAGTGACAGTGATGACCTACCTGGACATGCTACAGTTATATCTGTTACCCCAGTTGGAAGATCATCAGCCAAATATGGTTTTCCAGCAAGATGGTGTATCCCCACACTGGGGGTAGTATTGATTCTAAAGGTAATATAACTTTTTGAGTTACACTTTAATTTCAATAAGCAGTTTTATTTTGCTATTTCCAGTGTACGACTGATAATCAATGCAGGTAACAGTTTTGGCAAGTTGAAGTACCTGATGATGGCCGGTTGGGGCCAAAACATGTTGTAAAAAGTGAAATTTCTAAGGAATAAAGTGGTTGCATTGTTGATGAAACTGTAATATAAATATGTCATGTGAAGGGTTACAAGGGACTAACTGAGTGACAAGAGGGAATCTGAAGTAGGGGGCAGTTATGGTTATTCAATAATACTGAATCAAGACTGAATGTGTTGGATTTGAAGTTGTCATCACAGTGAATATGAGGACTAATATCTTTGGGATGTCATCTAGTTCACTGATGATTCAAAGGAACACACACTCTAAACCTTCAACATCAAAGGGTAAGCCAACCTCTACACACTGCTTGGCTAATTCCTAAACCCTGTTGATGGAGGCATAACGTTCCTCTGAAACATCAGTGAACTTTTATTCATATTATCTCCATCACACTACCACAAGACTTACAAAGACCATCCTGGACTCAAGGAGCTGAGCAATGTCATGGTGGTCACTCCGCATAGCCATATCACAAGGTGTAAACTTATCATGGTTCTCAATGAAGAGAGGTGAACCATGGTTCAGAAGCAGCTCCACACAGCGTTTCAATCCGGATGTGGCAGCACAATGCAGCGCAGTGTTGCCTTTCTGTTATTTAGGAACCAAAACATTTATTAGTATTGAAAATAAAAGTGAAATATGTGTTTCATATCAAGATCATCAATGTAAACCCCATTATCTGCAGAAAGGGCTCACACTCAAAGAAAATTTTCTGGTTTGTTTGTGCCTAATGGAATCATATATTCACTTAAATTTTTAATCATATTCTTTAATCATGCACTAATATAAAATGGCAGCAATGTTTCAATAAAAGTCATAGTTTCTACTCTATTACATGTATTTTAAAAAGTCTGTAATGTGTATAGAAAATTCACAGCAGTTCAAAATTCTGATATAAATATCAACAACTCTACACTTGGTTTAGTAAAATGAAGTTTCAATATATCACTTAATTATAAGAAGAAATACCTATTCTTCTCTGAGATATGGTTGCTTGAATCATCAATATCACACAATATGGTAGCTAAAACTTCATGGAGTAATACTCAACCAAACAGGACAGTCTACAGGTAACAGTCTAGATTTGTATTTGGGTGGTGCTTGGTCAAAATCTTGGCTGTGACACCAGCTATCCTGACCGAGTTGTACTGGGGTTTTCTTCAGTCCCTCCAGCAAAATGCTAGAATGGTATCTTGAGTAGGACATGACTACTTCTTTCCAAATCATCATTTGTTTATCATCCTATCATATAATGCCATAAAGTCCTGATATTGAAAATGTCATTAAATAACATACAGGGTAATTCTAAATTACAGTCCATGTCCTATAATTTTCAAACCAGAAAAAAAAACTGCTTATGGAATATGAAAATGCAACTCATAAAGTTTTATTACTTGTAGAAACAATACTGCAGAATGCTAGACAACTTCAACATGCACCTTTCATGGCACATAAAGTTTAAAAATTATGGGCCACAGAAACCCTGACAATAATTTAGAATCATTCTGTATTATAAAATAAGTAACACTCAAATTAGAACATTTGAGTTCACTCATTTTGTTACAAATAAAGATCTGTAAAATGCCTTGGATCCTAAAAATGTACAGCAGTAAACGTACATCACTTTAACAGCCACAGCTATGGTACGTACTGGTGAGATGGTGAATTTTATAATACAGTCTCCTTATATGTTCTCTGTTAGGATCACTACAGGTGGAGGGGAAACACATACACACTACTCACTATCTGAAGATTCCTGACGCCGCAGCACTGTTTCTTTTTCCAAAATAAGGCCCTACACAGGCTATACATTTTTGCGGTGACCCATCCACTGCTCAAACAAGTGTAGAACACCATTTCCAGACCTCTTGCATATGGCAGTGGTGGCAGCTTGTTTCATGTCAGTGCTAGTGCTGTATTTTTGCCCTCACAGCTCATGTTCAAGCACTCAAAATGTTCCGAATTAACATGTGCTTTGGAGTGTAGGGTGGGTGTTCTGCAGGTTCTGCCACCTCTGTCACCACATGTGCAATATGCAGACATGCACTGACTTGAAGCAGAAACCACCGTTTAGTCAAGAAGTCAAATTTTTTTAACAAAACTCCGTGGCCTTTAGTCCACAAGCGAACTATACTGAACGAGTGACCGACACATGTCAGCGAAGTTAGTGGCAACTTTAGTGGACAGAGGGTGTCACATGGTCAGCACAACAGATCCCCATGGCCTTTTCTTTTTAATAGGCATCTTTAACCTTTAAATGCTGGACTTCTGAAATGGTTGTAAGCTTGACCTGGCCGGAGTTTATTTAAATGGCCGCCACTGGTGCGCTTTTAAATGCCAGTTGCTACTCTGTGCTTCAATGTCCGTTCCTGTTAGGGCGCTTCAACAATTTTAAGCATTGTGTTTAAAAATGCTGTATCTAACTCAATTTTTATGATAAATGGATGGAATTAACTTTGTTTGTATCAGCAAAGAACATAGTGCTGCATATTATAACGGAAGATTTGAAAATTTTTATACAAAGAGTTATACTCTATTTTCAATTTTTTTCTTTCAATTTTGATGCGTACTGCAAAATTGGTTTCCCAGTTCTTCACAGAGTTGTTCTGCATTATATATTAATTTCTGTTTGTAGCACTTGAAAAATTTTAGCAGTCCCTGGTGTCATAAAACAGATGGAAGCAATAAAATCATTTTGTTCTCTACTGGAAAACCTTACAACTTTGTTACACCCTTCAGATTTTCAAATCTTTTGACTAAAGGACAGAAGAATGAAAGCATGGCTATTCAAGAAAAAGCTTCAAGGAGCCCCATCTTCAGTGCTAAGACCTTCTGTTGTAGCTGCAAGATATTATTGCCCTTTCTATGGTCATGAAAGGACAGTTGCATCGTGGCAGAAATACAGTGTGTGATCTGTTTTCTGTGCGTTCATAGTGAAATCGAATACTGTAGTTTCATTTCAATCTATATATACATTAAGCAGATAACAACAAAAAAGGTATGCATATTGAATTTTATGATATATTTTTAACACATCTGCAATAAAAGTACTGGCTCCTGGATGAGTTTGGGCATAACTCATATGTATATTCTTTTTTGCTGTTGTTCACTTAGGTATTATTTTAATTCCTCTATTAGGGTTTTACTCAAGTCTGTCTGGTAATTACTACGTTTAAAAATATATATTTAGGACTGTGCACGTGCTTCCATTGGTGGAGTTTAAATGCCTGACTGGTCAAAACGGGGTACTTTGGCCATGACGACCATACTCATCACTGGCTCGATTGGGCACTTCGGACGTTAAAGGTTAAATGAGTTTCAAGTGTATTTGCATAGTAAATACTATTCACAGGTTTCCAAGGTAGCCAGTGCTGAAGGCTGTTTCCTTTGTAGTAAAAAGACAACATCAGCATCAATTTTCCCGATGATGGTGCTGTGCAAAATGTATTCGGTAGTGGCAAATCTTTGTATTTCCAAACAACTGACTGCTCTTTAAATTCTGGGTCATAATGTCTTGTCAAAGACTCATCATAAGTGATTATAAATGATTAAAATTCAGAATTCTGTTCAACAAGAGCAAATTTGTTGGCAAACTTTCAAACATTTTCTTTTTTAGTCATCACTGAAGTCATGGGGAACCCATCTTGCACACACTTCATCCATCATTCATTATTCATCAGCCATCCTACCATTTGATGTTATATACTGTGAGCTATGAGCAGGGTCATAAAATAAACCAGAGACATATATAGTATAACGACAGTAGAAATGAGCTTCAAAGGTATCAAATTTCATGCAGCAGTCAAAATAAAACATGGCTAAAATGAGAAATAAAATACACAGTATTAAATTATAAAACAGGGAAATTAATGAAGGATAATTCATAGTAGACATAGTAACATCAACAGATCACGAACAACTGTCTCCCTCAATTTTTGGGGCATACCTGGTCCTGAGCCTGAAGATCAACACGTTCTCGTCCCCCACTGTTAAGGGGAACTCCCCTCCATTGTAACAAAAGCGCCACACATGCTGCACGTCGCTCCTGAGCTGAGAAAGACTTCTGCTGACTCAACTGGCATGCTGCATGCAGTGATGTTTCATTGCAACCATTCTTCTTGTTTGGGTTTCCACCCAGGTCATTCAAGAATGTCCTGGTTCAGATATACGGAACATGAAAATCTTGTCACCACACAAAGACAACACTGTTGTGAGATCTTGGGTTATCAAAGCAGTGACTATGTCATGATACGTAGTCTGATAGACCTTTATCAACATTTTGGAGGAATATACTATCTCTGTCTGTTCTCCTTGGCTTACTCTTTGACCCTGGTGACAGGGGCAGTGCATTCCTTCAGAATGGGATAAACTTCTACCACTGTACATGGGATCATATCCGAAAATATGGTATTCTTCCTTAACCATTTGATTGTCAAGCCCCCACCACACAACCACCTCCTACAAACACTAAAGCTGTTGGTAGGTAAATGCTGTTGCATGCAAAGACCTACAGTACTGCCATAGATTGGCAGCAGGTGGTAGCATAGCTGGTTCAGGCACTGTGTTCCAAGAAGGAAGGTTGCAAGTTCAATTCCTGATGAGGTCACTGGATGTGTCAATTGATGTAATTCTTCCAGCTACACTATTGCCCTGGGGTTGACTCAGCCTCTAACAGGAGTGAGTACCAGGAATCTTCCTGGGGTTAAAGGGCAGCTGGTGTGTAAGGCTGACAATCTCACCTCCATCTCTGAGCAGTGTCCAGAAAATGCGGGATCCTTGACATCTCACAACCCCATGGGCCTCCAAAACCCGTTACAGGGTTAATTTTTTTTACTCCAACATATTACCTTCAAATTACTACAGATGCACACAGCATGAAAGCATGTTCTTTCCTCTACGCATCGATAAATAACACATGATGCTGTCTATTGATAACGATGCTGCTCTACTAAGTGATGTCAAGCCAATTGTTTCAGCTATGGCATTTTTAATGCAAATGTGTCAAGCCAATCTAATCAGCCCATGGCAGGAGAAGGGTCAGACCCAGGGGATTATCACTTCATAGTGGGGACAGAAAAACTGAAGTGAACTACAAATCAAAAACATTATTTGTAACTTGCATGTTGCTTTGTAATCCTACACAATGCTCAAGGCCTTTCCATGCCAGACTCTGTATATCCTATATACGTTATGCAGAAATACCATGCAATTTATATTGTGATACATACATCAATGAGACTGTTACTCTTCAACCCTGAAAATGGAGGCAGTAAAGGTAAATGGCAAAGCTATGCTTGTAACAGGTTGTGGAGGCCCATAGGGCTGTGAGACATTGAAGGTCTCAAATTTTCTAGACAATCAGCTCACAGATGGTGGTAAGGTTGACAGTCTTACACGCCAGGCACCCTTTACCCTCAGGAAGATTCCTGGTACTCATTGCTGTTACAGGCTGACTTGACCCCAGGGCCACAGTGCGGTTGGAAGGATTATCTCAACTGAAAATGCAATGACCTCATTAGGAATCAAACCCGTAACCTTCTGTCTTGTAGCACAGTGCCTCAACAAACTATGCTACCGCAGGCCCCAATGTAGGCAATACACTACTCAAAGATGTTGAACTTCTTCCACACTGCACAGCATCACATCCCAAAACAGAGAACTCTTCACACTGAGAAACTGTAGGACACACAGCTCACAAGTATAAAATAATATCTTTACATAATCAATAATAAATTCGGTTGTGAAGTAATTAATGACATAACATAAACATTGAAACAATCTCAGATAAGAACAACAGCAACCATGTTGTATATAAAGAAGCAGTGCTTTGTGCTGTGTTTAACATTCGTTGTGACTTGCCATGCATTATGGTTTCTTTGGGTGGGGTGAGACTGAGTCCACTTGGTATGTTGGCCATGCTTTGGCCTATTGTACCAGCCCTGAATGTTAGATGATGAGTGTGGAGCAGTCGATAAAATGAGAACTGGCAGGGAAAACCAAAGTAATTGGAGAAAACCTGCCCCAGTGCCACTCTGTCCACCACACATCCCACATGACCTGACCTGTGACCGAGACTGGACTGCCACAGTGAGAAGCCGGTAACTGACAGCCAGAGCTATGGCACAACCAAGCATTATGGTTGTGCAGCAAAGAGTTCTGGTAGAGAGAAAAATGCAAGTAGTGACCACTGTTTCGACCCAATCACACTAAACTGTGTTGCATGTACTGGAAGGTCAGAAGTTCTTAAACTATAGTAAAATCTCACTAATTCATATCACACTCTTTCTATTATGTACATAGTTTATTTATAGACAATGTTTCTCCTAAACAAGACTGTGACGGTCTAATTCCCCACTTCCTGTTGGCTTAGATCAGTACTGAAATAGATGTAAAGTGCCTCATTTGTACTCCGAGCACTTTCACTCAAACAAATATACTGTAACATGTTTTGCCACTGAAGATGCCGTTCAGATTGTTAATTGGTTTATTCAGCAACCTACAAATTGTAACTACAATTAATTACAACACAGTTGCGGGTTTACATAATTTATAAACCCTACACAATAATCTGTTGACTCTATCTTCAATAGTCTTCACTTTCACAGTACAATACTGGAGCTATACCAGTGTCACTGTATTACACACTTCCACTACCGTCTCACACTATCGCCTCTAATCACACGTTCCGGTATTCTTCACGTTCATGATTTGCTCGCTACAACTGAACTCGGCGACTGCTACAATTCAACTGACTTTGGCGGTTGCTACATTTTAACTGATTCCTTATGCATTGCAGTTTTCTTATAAACCCTCAGCCAGATAACGGAAAATGCGCCTCGCTTCCCTGTTGCGTAATCACCATGTTTACAGGTCCATGATTTATTTAATCCGTCTTGCAGTGCATACACTCATTTATTTCCTTCTCTCCCTCGCACTACATGTTTCGGCATAATAATGCCATCTTCAGGTGCTTACTTATCCACGTCAAACCAGGTGTTGCTGGGCAATGCTGCCAAGAGTTGTTTATTGCTGCGTAGCAACCAGTGTGCTTCGGCTCGGCTCACTTCAGCTCTACTCACCACGGCATGGAGAAACACCGGTTTCCTTACAGTTGTGTAACCTGGCAACCGACCGTTTATCAAGGGTCTATCTTTGTGGTAACTCGTTCCACCTCCCGTTGCCCAGCAAAGGGTTAGACATGTCACAATACATATAATTATAATCTATAATTTGGACTTTTCTCTATCCATTCCCCTGTTCGGACAAATTAGTGAGGTTTCATTGTAAATATAGGTTCTTTATTAAATCAAAGTTGAATACATACAGGACTACAGTATACTGTTTATATTGGGCTTGAGCTGAAACCAGAAATATTCCATAAATATGGAACTTTACTAAAGGCAGGAACACTATATGTAGATTTCACTGTATTTTAGTACTTACAGTGATGGTGAGTAAAACAGAGAAAATTTAAAATTCGATGTTTATATGACATAGAGTTAAATTAAATTCTCTCCTACTGTAAGCTGAACCACTGAAGAAAGAGAGAAAGAAAAAAAAAGCGTGAACTTAAAATGTCTGGAAGGCAGAAAACAGAAATTTGAATTACAACCTCCTGGGACGTGATACGGTGTAGTTTGCTAGATGGCCACCAGAATTTCAGAGGAAACTGCTACCTTCATATTCAATGCAGACCCCTTTCTCTTATCCTCAAGACAGTGAAAACAGGTTCTCTGAAACAATGGCACCTGCACACCCAACTACAAAGTGTCACATGACAGAAGACTATAATCTAACCCAAAATCTCAAGACTGAGTGCTAACTTTTGATTATTTTTACGATTTGAAGTTTTCACAGCGCTGACTATGAAGAATGCCATATTCTGGGATGTGGTGCCCTGTAAATCTTGTGTGAACCAACATTCCGGAGGAACGTATCGCCTCCATCTGCAGGGTAGAAAAATCTGTGAGTGAGGAACCAGAGTGAGCAGGTGGCTGCAGACTGAGATGGAGGCAATATGTTCCTCCAAAACATCGGTTCACACAAGATCTACACAGTGCAACATCCCAGAAGATGGCATTCTTCATTTGATTATTTGTTCAAAGATTCTCTAAGCCTCTTGCCTTTCTGAATGATACAAATAAATCCCACAAACATGGAACTGCCAGTATGTTACTAACACAAGACTTCACAGTGAAATTCAACACATTCTTAGAAGACAACTTATCACAATGACTCCAAATTTTTTCGTTCAGCTTTCAACAGCAATAAATACAGGTTGTACTATATGAGATTTGACATTCTCACAGTGCTTAAGTATTAATATCATGGTCTTGTGGGATTTCAGAGTATAACTTGGAAGATGGAGGTAACAATTAGATGTATCCACAGGTAGTTTCCTTGTCACCGTGACATGGCACATCCTCAGGTTGCAGATTGAGGAAACAGCTTCCAGATATGGAAGGTAGCTGTGAATATATTGAATAGGCAGTTGCGGACAGCCAACGAGGGGTGGTCCTCCAACTTGGGGGTTGGGCGTGGGGCTAACAACTCCTCACCATATAAAATAACCTTGTTGTGAAAGAGCACAAGAAGCCTCGGACCTGGACTGATTTTATTGATAAATGATCTAAGTGAAGATTGGTACTTGGAATGTTGGAAGTATGTACAGGGCAGGTTCACTTAAGACAGTGGCGGAAGAAATATCGAAATATAAGTTAGATTTTGTGGGAGTACAGGAGCTCAGATGGGACAAAGGAGGCACTGAACCAGCAGGCGAATGTACATTTTTCTATGGAGAGGGGAATGAGAATCATGAATTAGGTACAGGTTAGTTAGTTAGTTACTCAGTACATTAATGTAATGTGTACAAATGGAGCAGGATGTGAACATTATGCTGTAAATTTTAAATTGCCTCAGATATATTTGATATACAAGTTTCTGAAGCTCATTTCATTTCCATCATCAAGTTTTAAAGGAGAAAGGTCTCTACTGAGTTCGGTCCATTACAGAGAGATATCCTTGATTACTGAAAAGAAGACTGAAACTAGCTCTTTCAAATCAACTCATGCAAGTACTAACCTCTTCCCCTATACATCTGATAACAGAAATGAAAAGATGGTACATATCAAATACCTCATATGATGGACAATGTGCAACATAATTTTTCATACAATGAATGAACCGCAATCTTTTCAGAAAGTGAAGTAGCATACTGACCTGAGCAGGTGTTTCATGCCATGTTTGGCAGCATAATGCAGTGCTGTATTATGATGATGGCTGTCCCCATAACTGAGATTGGGATCCAGATTCTTCCGCAACTCTGGAGAACTCTGAAATACCTACAAAAGAAATCAATAATACTGTAATCCGCGGATCCATTACTGGGTAACAACCTTGAAACAAAGAACGAAACAACATTCGTTGCTAGGCAACAGATTCTTAATAAGCAAGTATACACAGCCATTACTGAGTAATACCTTTCCAAACAAACATGTTCCCATGTAAACAATTGGAGTACAACAATGAACGGTGCTTTCTACACAGTCCATGTTGAGATGTTATAACTGCGACAAGTTTAGAAGTTTCAGTTGTATGAGAGAACTGTGGTATATTCGCCTGACTGTGACGAAGGGAACACAGAAGACAAAGGATCTCCACTATTAGAAGTCATGAGGGACTCACTGATGAATACACAGCAGACCGAAAAGATTTAGCATGTACTGTAGTGATTTGTAAAGTGTGGGGATTAGTGACATCCCTATAATCACGAGTCATGTGTTAAACTGGTCAATAAATCTAATCTCTAATCCAAAATCCTGCTGACAGTCACCCATAATAATGACAACAATAATTTCATAACAAATTATAAGAGGAAGCTCTGACACCTACTTTCCTTCAAATTCTTTATTATTCAGGGTAATTCGTAAGTCATCAGTACCCTTGTAGTTATGTATTTGGTCTACAGAGTGATTCAAATTACTGTCAGGGTTTCCAGAAGGACTTATGAATTACCCTGTATATGACAAGGTTATCAAGAAGCAGAAGCGAAGCAGCATACTACACAAGTCATAAACGTCTGTGCAAAATTTCGACTTGTATACATTCCTACTATATCAGCTATATCAGATACATCCTGAGGGTCTCACACCATTGCCACATTTATATTTATAAGGGGCAGTCAAATGAAAACGGGTCACCACACGTAACTCACACGGCGCACAAGTTGGTAACAATGGAATTTGCTTACGGTATGAATATCTGGTGGGGACTTGGGAAAGCACAGTGACGTGCACTTGCACACTAGTTACTTGTTTATTGTGCTGGAAGTAAGGTTAGCGTTACATGTGGTCGTCCAACATCAGTAATGGAGGCGGGTAAAGAAGAACAGTGAAGTGTAGTGTGCTTTTTGACTGCTGAAGGAGTAGGAGGATGAGAAATTCACTGTCGCATGTCTACTGTTTATGGTGAACACAGCATGTCACGTTCGCGTGTTCTGGTGTGGCATAAGAGATTATGAGAGGGATGTGTGTCACTGCAAGATGATGCTTGCCCCGGACAGGCTCATTGTGTCATCACTCCTGACGTTATTGCTGCGTGGGATGGTCATATCCGGGCAAACTGACAGATCACTGTGGAAGAAATTAGTCTTTTGATGGGAATAAGTTACGGTTCTGTACATGTCATTGTGACAAAACACCTGCTGTACTGCAAAATCTGTGCACAGTGGGTTCCACATCAACTCACGGAGGAACAGAAGACTCAGAGAATGGCTGTATCACTGGGTCACTTGCAGTGATACCATGAGGAAGAGTATGCTTTTCTGTCCTGTGTTGCTGCTGGGGACGAAACTTGGTGCCACCATTTTGAACCCAAGAGCAAACGGATGAGCCAACAGTGGAAACATGTGAATTCTCCCCCACCAAAGACATCCAAAGCTGTACACACAAGTTCTGGTAAAGTGGTGACGATGTTCTTTTTCGATTGCAAGGGCCCTCTGCTTGTCAAATTTCTCGAGCATGGGGCCCAATCAGTGCACAGCGCTATGAAGACACTTTGCAGGAACTGAGACGTGCCATAAAGTCAAAACGCCCTGAAATGCTATCGAAAGGCATTATCCTTCTTTATGATAATGCGCGCCCCCCCACTGCCAACTCTGTGAGGAATACGCTACAGAGATTTGTTTGGGAACTGCTTCAACATCACCCCTACAGCCAAGATCTCACCCCATGTGATTTTTCACATTTTTTGGAGACGTGAAGAGAGACATTCGTGGACATTGGTTTGCATCGGACGAAGACGTGTGTGGCTGGATAAAGATGTGGTTCCGTAGACAGCCCACAAGCTTTTTCAAGGACAGGACTGACCATCTTATCTCCCAGTGGGATAAATGTACTAACAGTTTTGGAGATTACTGTTGAGGTAATAAATGTTCTTTAATATGTTTTGGCTTCTGACTCGTTTTCATTTGACTCCCCTCATACAAGCATTCAAATACTATTTTACACAGCATTTGTGTGTGTGCTTATAATCTATCTCCATATAATACTGTGGCATGTCTGCTGAAAACCAGAACTGGGAAACCAGCTGACACAGCCATTGCTAGGGAACAGCCCTACAAACATGCTGATTGCATGGGTGGATATACCGGGGTTGTTTCTGGACAATGGCTCTGTAAACACGTTCTCTGCAGAAATGATTCCAGAGGCAACAATGGAAGAACTGTTTTCTATATGGTCCATGCCGAGATGTGACAAGCAATGGACAAGGTTAGAGGTTTGTCAGTTCTGTAAGGGAGTCTGTGAAGAGAGAACTTGAGTCTGGAGGTAGAGGAATAGCCAATGTTGGAGCCATTACCAGGAAATGTCTATTTAACAAACTGAGAACACTAGCCTGTGTGGTTTAGTGAAGTGTAAAGTGTGGAAATAGTGATAGTGTCATAGTCATTTGTAGTTATGACCTATAAGTGATCAGTAAATCTATTCACCAATTTAACCCGTTCCCGTGGTTCGACGTGTATGTTTCGTCAGGGATTTAAATCGTCTGGGGGGGTTCGACGTGTATGTTTCATCCAGCTGCACACCTATGTTATAACGCCCATAATAATTGATGGTTTTGCTGTAGATTGTTAGATTTTTCGCTGGCCTGTTGTCAGTAGAACAGAGTATAAATAAGACACGACTTTATCTGCGCCAAGTCATCGTTACATATACCTGTCTTGCAGCAAAGTTCCTGTTGCTTCTGGTAGGTTCCTCGTTCAAGCTGTTATGAAAGGCGTTTTCTTTGCTTTGAAGATATAAACAACAGAGCCGTGATGTTTATAATATAATATTGCCCTGAGCTGGCCACACAAACACACTCAATTGGAATTCTTAGAAGAGGGGTGTCCAGTAATTTATTCTCGCATGATCCATTGATTTCGCACAGTATATAGCACCCAGTTCTTAGAAAAACGTCACGAATTAAGGCAGAACACTGTGGTCACCCCCTGAGACGATACGGATGTGTGTGGGGGAGGGAAAAGAACTCATTCCTTCATGTATTATCGCTCCAGCTGACGCCAGTTTATCGTACTGACCTTGGTGGTCGTTTCGAGGGATGACCATAAATATTTTTTTGAGCCAGCTAAGCTCTGCTTTCGTTCACTACATACCAGACAGTTCTTAGAATAACTTCATGAATTCTGTGGTCACCCCTACGACATCTACAGCCGCCAAAATGGATGGAATATCAAAGGCATAGCAACAACCCCTTGTTATGATAACTCGTAACGTTGAATTTACTGCAGCTGACCTGACTAGCTTTACTGCTCACGGAAGGACATTTCCTTGAACTAGACCCCTCACGGGGAAGAGGGCTAGGCCGCACAGAAGCTGTGTGGTTAAAAAAAAGAGCAAAAGAAAAGATACGCAGTATTTGTTTGGTGAATGAGAGCCAGCGCTGTGTTTAGACTAATGCTTCAAGGCGTCACCTGCTTGCATTGCCGAGATACCGGGTGCTCATATTATAAGGCAAGGTTATAAAACCATCTTTTAAGATCATTTTAGTGAAAGTTTCATCCTTCAAGGCGTACCATTCACTGCTCAAATACTAAACAACCTGCTTCCATGGCCGAGATACAGGGCGCCCATATTATAAGGTAAGGTTATAAAACCACCATTTAAGATCATTTTAGTGAAAGTTTCATCCTTCAAGGCGTACCATTCACTGCTGAAATACTAAACAACCTGCTTCCATGGCCGAGATACAGGGCGCCCATATTATAAGGTAAGGTTATAAAACCACCATTTAAGATCATTTTAGTGAAAGTTTCATGTTCCTATCTCATAGAATTTAAGAACAATGACGAATAAATAATTTTCGAGCAAAATTTAAATGGCCGGCTGAATATATTACGGCAGGAGCCGCGGCCGCGGAATTTAAATGACCACGTCAAAGGGTTAAACCCCATCTATAGTCACACATATTATGTGACAATATTGGGACGTGCTGCCTGAAAGCTGGAATATCTGAGCGGGTGTCGTTTGCTAGACAACGGCTTGTTAAGAAACGTGGCTGAGACAAGCTGGAACAGATTACTGCTGAGCAACACTCGGTAAACACTGCCTATAAGCCGGAATAGTGGAGCCAGATTAGGAATTATCCATTTTACTAGGCAACCATTCACATTAGTTTCCAAGACAACACATACATAACAGACCGTTACCATGGAAATAAAAACCAGAACTGGTACAGTTCCCATGGTATCGAATACAGTAGCTACTGGTGCATAAAACACGTGAAACAGAACCCTTGAACAAGGTGTCCTCTAGGCTGTCTGACTGTAGACTAGAACAGATCGAACAGAACAGAGCAGAGCTGAGAGCAGAAGGAACCAGCAGAGCTAAGAACCAAGACATGCCAAGCAGAACAGCAGTGGAAGAGAGAATAGCAGTTGAAGACAGAATAGAGGAGTGAAGACGAAATGTGAGAGATGACAGACTAGCCAGGATGCATCGCATGGAAGATGTTATTTCTGAGTGACTGTAATTGCAATTGTATACAACTTATCCAATGAACAGCTTCATCTAATCTGAACCCATTAATTTCTTGTTGCGTTACCAGGATATGTGACATTAGAAACTCTACTTCCTTGAAAACAATATCCACCAACTTTACAGACATGCCTTTTCACTGTACGAGGGGTACCGAAAAGAAACCGAACCTATTTCTTTTTAAACTTATTTATTCAAATTTTATGCACAAACCTTCAATCCCCTTCAAAGTACTCTCCACTTACACTAATACACTTGTCTAGTCTTTTATTCCATTTTTCAAAACATTGTCTAAATTCATCTTTTGAGATGCTTGACAGCGCCTCCGTCATTTTTTCCTTCACCTCAGCAACATCAGCAAAACGCTTTCCTTTCATGTCTCTTTTCATTCGAGGAAACAAAAAAAAAGTTTTGATCATTTCGGGACTCTTCTTTCAAAGCACAGCATGCTTCCACGTGACCTTGTTTTTGTTCAGCAGTCAGCAGTCGTGGCACGAATTTCGCAGCCACCCTTTTCATTCACAAATCTTCTGTCAAAATTCGCTGAACTGAGCTCCAAGTCACTCCCGACAGCTCCATAATTTCTTCAATGGCCCGGCGTCGATCTTCCTTGATGATTTCACGAATTTTTTCAACATTTTCATGTGTTCGGGCCGTGGAAGGATGACCAGAACGACGTTTGTCATCAATTGACATTTCACCATTTCTGAAACGGGAAAACCACTCAAACACTTGAGTTTTCCCCATAGCATCGTCCTTGTATGCCGTTTTTAACATTTCAAGAGTTTCTGTTCCACTTTTCCTGAGCAAAAAGCAGAATTTCACCGCCGCACACTGTTCACAAAACTCAGCCACTGCAAAAACAACGATCACACAAAACAGTTGTCACTATAAACTCTGCCGAAACTAGTCCTTACCTTCTGAAGCAATGGTAGTCGGCTTATCGACTCAGGAATGTTAGCTCTATGCGCTCATAGCAAAACGCGGTACTACAAAAGCTCTGCCCACAAAAAAATTAGTTCGGTTCCTTTTGGGTACCCCATCGTATACAAATGTTTACAAGCATGCAACACTGAAAGAAAATATTTTAAAAATGCAGGATATGTATGCACTGTGCAAGAATTCTGGTTCATTTGTATCTTTTGTTTAATTATCTTAAAAGCTGTAAGAGTTGCAGAAAAAGTGTACTGGACATAAAGCGTTTCATTTCCTGTCTGCAACTTTTGTTCCAAACATTCTGCACTCTAACATTTAGTGACTTATGCCTGAGATGGAAACAGAAGCACAAGTAAGACTTTATGAAAACTGTCAATTTCTGTCATCTGATTTTAAGATAAATTGACAAGAGCATTATGTGTTTTATTAATGTACCCCAATATAAAAATTAACGACAGTCTGTTCAGTGATTCTACAGATGTAGCATGCAAACAGATGGAAAGACTGACATGGCAAATCTAACAGACATAATTCTGAAACTTCTCAATGCAAACATCCCAAAAGGGATAATCTTGACTGCTTACATACATGACTTACCTCCAACATCAAAACCTTGAAAATTCACAATGAAATTCTTGTAACTAACATACCTGCATCGCTGCAAATTCATCTCCATGCTGAAGGTACTTCTTGAATTTAGAGGACGCACTGCCCATGATGCAAAGGCACACTTGACAGGACTATTATACTGGTCCAGTCAGTGGCTGCACAACCCTCGGCGTCAAGAGATCAGCCCTGTTTCACAAAATGATAATTGTTATTCATTGCAGTAATAAAGATAAAATAAAACAATAACTAATTATGTGAGATTTGAGGTTCTTAAAGTGATGAGTATTATATTACAGTTTCTACAATGACACCATGCACTCCAGTAGACTGGTATAAATGTTTCAGAGTAATCTCCTTCTGTAACCTTCACAGCAGAAGGTGGAGACAGCACGTTCCTCAAAAATTTTGATACCAACCTACTATAACATATGGTTTCACACCCAAGAAAACCATAAGCTTCATAACCAGTTACTTCACTGGTAACAGAATCTGATAGTTCACCACTGCTACTGTCAAAGTCAATATTTTCACAACCAGCTATCCTATGCTCCACACGAACCATTTCAGAACAAACTCTGACTGTACTAGTGTGTACAAAAACTGGGAGAATATAAAGGAAAACAGTAAAACTTAAAATACTGATGAAAAAATCTGCTGTGGAGGGCATGTCAGGGACACTTCACATCAAATCGACACAGAAAAGAGCCATTTCCAACCCAGCGCCCTCAGAATCAAATTCTTCTGTGTATAGTTTTGTGTTATAGTCCCAATGGAGATAAGAATTCCTTCCAAATTTTACTGCTCTATGACCATTACAACTTTGGAAGCAGATGTCTAACACTGTAAAAAAACTCGCCTTTTGGGCACAAGTCATCTTAGAAAACTTGACATAACTTCTGCCTTAGTTGAAGAGCAGATCTCATTTTATGCCCATTTCAAAATCAATAAAAAGCCCCTTCAAATGACATACTACACAGATATATTCAGCACAGTTATGTATTCAAGGTCTTCAAATATGACCTTGTATTTCTCAAAATGCGGCATTTTAATTTCTTGAAAAATAAATGTCAATTCTGCTTATGTAACTTACTTAAAACATGGCCGTGCCATAGCTCAAGCGGTTAGTTGCTGGCTTCCCACCGCGGCGACCCGGGTTAAATCCTGGGTCTGGTCAAGTGGGATTTGTGGTGGACAAAGTGGCGCTGGGGCAGGTTTTCTCCGAGTACTTCGGGTTCCCCTACCAATCTTCATTCCACCAATTGCTCCACAATCACACTCACCTCTCATCTGGGGCTGGTACAATAGGCCAGAGGTGGGTGCAGTACAAGGGTGTTAGTCCCACCCCACTAGCAATAAAAAATACTTAAAACATCTGCAAATACCAAATTGGGACTGGGTTTTAGGAAGCACTTTACTTGTGTTGATGAGGTTACTTAACCTCTAAGAGACAGGCCATTTAAATTCCCGTAATCGCAGCAGGCCGGAGTTAATTTAAATGTCCGCCATTGTAGAGTATTAAAAATTGTACGCATGTTACTAAAAATGCCGTGATTTCTACAATTTTTGTGATAAACAAACGAAATAAACGCTTCTTTTATCTAGAAAGAATATAAAATCAGATATTGTAATTTACAGATTTTAGAATCTGTAAAAATTGTTACATTGATTCCAAAAAAATTTTTTTCCCAATTTTGAGCGTCTGTCCACAAAAATGCATAAAGCTTCTGCACAAAACGTTTCTGCAGTATAAATGCATGCTGCTGAAGCACTGTCTTACTATGTCTTATCTGGCAAAAGGAATAGGAAGTTCATGTTTGTACTGCACATTCTCCAGTCATGTCGGAACCTTTCTGTATACACGAGTGTGGGGGAAGTCTTATCATACTTTGTCCTTTTGAAACTCTGCCTGTTTATATCTGGGACTAACCACACAGAGGTACTGTTCTGGAATATCCCTGCAATGCCCCCTTGCTTCCGCGAGCCTTCAGAATCGTCTGTACTGCATTCTGATTGGTGTGATTTATGAGCGGCCTCTCAATTTCGGCTTTTTCCATGCAAAATGGGGCCATGGTGCATAGTTGAAATTGCGATGTTTTATAAGTGTTACGATTAGAGGACATCACTGGCCTACTTCCTGTAATACGAGAGTGAGGTGTTGTGTGTGCTCTTCGTGTGGGAAATGTAGTTACATATGGACAAAGTGCATGAATTGCGGTGTCAGACTCTGCATTCAGTTACATGCAACATTCAGTTAGATGATGCAGGAGGGAAGACTGTCTACTTATAAAGCGGGTGCCCAAAAATAATGTGAGTAGAACAAGAATTTCTATCCTAAAATTAGATTTTAAAACACTGTGCACACGCGTGGACTGCGCATACCCATACAGTGTCGCACGGCCACTCGGCTATACTTTAAAGGTCCCCATATGGTGTCGCTAGGCTCTTAGAGGTTAAAGCAACTTACCACCAACTAGTGTTCTAAATGCGTGGCTGAAAGAGTTATTACTATCCTTCCATCTTCCCATATTAATAAAATTGTTTTTCTTTATTTTTCTTCACATCCAAAATGCATGCTCAGCTTATCATAACGTCCCTAAATTAACGGATCTGATAGCACAAGATGAGCTGGATACAGAACAAAGTTCCTCATTATATGTAAAATAATCTAAATTCTTATTTCACTTCTCTCTGGCTTCTGAACTGAATTATTCATGAACTATCTGTTTTCTTCAGAGTAACAGACACAGTCATACAAAACACATACTTAAGGACTGTTTTACACATACATATAAACACACAGGGTATAACTCTTATGCTAGCCAGCAGTGGCCAGATGTGGCTACAGTCAATGGTCAGGAGTTGTGAGACAATCACCAGTCAGTAAGGACGTTGAACATGGAAGCTCAGGAATCTAGGGCATTAAGAGCTGTTACCAAGCAACAAGTGATATCAGAAGTGGGAAACTGAATTGGTAATTTGACTTGCTGAACAAGTATAACTCATAAATACAGGTAATTATAGTGATATTGCTATTTCACACTCTTCACAGTTCACTATGGGGTGCACTAACTCTTCTATGTCTTCACTGTGTGCTGCCTGCTAACAGCTCACAACACTTCATGTGTCTAGTTACTAACACATGACAATATGTTAGTGTTAAAATGTGATGTTCCTGAAAGAAACTTTAAACATAACTTTCACTGTATGAGTTATGGCTAATCTCTTAAACATCAACAACATGTCTCTGGATTATATCCATGAATTATAAACACACAGATTTCAGGTCAGCTAGCTAACGTTAGCACTGGACAGTATAATATGGCCAGGGTAAACAAGACCAGGTGAAGGATATATTTCCTCTATGAATGTACCTAATATTACCTAATGGGGCCAAGATACTCTAAAGCTTAAGGTGCTCTCACCATTTCTAAATGTCATCCAAGTTTATCCTGTATCAACAAGCAATACATGAAATGCAAGAAAATGTGCTGTTGGCAATGTTATCATTTTATTTCATTAAATTTAAGTAAATAAACTTCAGTTTTTACTTTCTCATACATGTAGGACATATGAGACAGTAATATAACTGTGAAAATATCTTGAGATTTTGACACATTTATACATTTTCAGCTCTCCTGAATTTAAAGAAAGTGTTTTTTGGTATGTCATCTGCAAGTATATCTGCACATGTGCACATCACTAGTGCCTCATTGGTTGTATGCATTTTTTTCATATTCATTGATTACAGGTTCATCCATCATGGGTTTGGGTCCACTGAATATGAGTACTGTAGCTCAAAAAAATAGGGGCACTTCACAAACTTCAAACCCAAAATTGTGATTTTGCTGAAAACTTTTCCAACAATTTTCATTCAAATTCAGGGCTTCATGGAGACCATCTCCCTAAACACAACTGCATATATGGCACAGTAAAGTTGTCCTTGTGCTTCATTAAATAAGCAATTAACTACCAGGCCAGGAAGACTCCACCATTCTTGACCATGGCACTAGATTAAGGTAGGTGATCAGCTTCATGCTTTGGCAGCTTTACATCTGGGGAAACAGTCCCTGGAGCCCACTGGATAGAAGGTTAGCCATGCTCCAGAACCAGTCTGCAAGCTGTGGAGTGGAGAAAAATTTCTTGCTCCTGCTGTGAACTGAACCCTGACAGCCAGCCCACAGACTGCCACTAAACTGATAGACCAGAAAAATAATTGTACACCCTCTAGTAGCCCAAATGTGAAATATCAAATTTCTTGAAGATGGTTTGATTGTATTTATTTGTATTTTAAATTATCTATGGAGACAACAGACCCAAATAATATTTTCTAGACCTAAACATGCTATGCATAATGGATTACTCTCCATAACATATTGTGGCATGTAGACTGATTCCTAGGCAATGAATGTGAAACAAGCAACTACCCAACAGCTGTTTCCAGGTAGCAGCTTGGCCAACAATTCCACGGCAACAAGAGGATACAATAATGGGAAGCAGTGCTTTCTACGCAGTCCATGCTGAGATCTTATAAGGAGGACAAGTTAGGACCTAGAGCTAGTTAGCAAAGAGTTGGTTGGTGAGTTAGTGAGTTTGTCAGAGAACTGCAGTTCAGTAGTTGTGAGATGCTGTTGTGAGAAGCTGGCAGCTGAGGCTGGGGACTGTTTGGTAATCCAGAGAAAGGGCAACATCTACCATTGAAAGTCACTACTGAGCAACAGCTAGTAAGATATAACTGTGGACACTAGTGTGTGCATGACACTGATTTGTAAAGTGCAGTCATAAGTTGTGTGTATACAAGTTCAACAAATCTGCTTAAAAATCCAAAACCAGTCTATCATCACACTACAACACATGACAGCATATATTATTCTTTGAGGTTTTAGAGTGCAGACAAAACAATTGGCATAAAAACTGGCTGTGATATCTGACAACTGTTGGACAGACTTACGAACTGTAATGTGTTCAATCTATTACAAAAATTACTTGTTGTTATGAATCATTAAAATTTAAAAAATCAAGTATTACATCTGATCTTAAATATTTTATTGGAATACAATACAGGGTCAAACAGTTTTAAATTTTAAAACACTGAGAATCTGTATCAGAACACGCAGTTTTCAGAATGGTGTTTGGCCATCACAATTTTATACCTATTGTTGAAACCTATTCAATGGATCTTCTAAATA